GGGGGGGGTTGGGACACGATTCATCCTAATGGTGTCCCCAATGTCCCCTCCGCTGTCCCCCAGGACACCTTCGAGCGCGTGTTCGTGTCCCCGGGGCTCCGCGGGGTCCCCTGGTACGTGATGGCCGGGAACCACGACCACGCCGGCAACGTCACGGCGCAGCTGCGCTACAGCCACCACTCGCCACGCTGGTACTGTCCCCGAGTGTCCCCAAGTGTCCCCAAGTGTCCCCGAGTGTCCCCAAGCCCCCCCCGCTCCATCCCGCGAAGCCCCCCTGGAGATGTCCCCAAGAGTTCTCCCGGTGTCCCCGCGGCTGCAGCCCGTGCCTGGCGCTGGAGTGTCCCCACGGTGTCCCCACGGTGTCCCCAGGTCCTCTCCCGGTGTCCCCACGGTGTCCCCAGGTCCTCTCCGGGTGTCCCCAGCCCCGCCTGGCATGTCCCCGCGTGTCCTCACGCTGTCCCCAGGCGCCCTCAGGTCCCGCAGGCGCTTCCCCCACCCCTACTACACCCTGTGCCTTGTGCTGGGGTGTCCCCACATTGTCCCCTGGCCCCCTCAGGGTGTCCCTAAATTGTCCCCAAGCCCCCTCAGGGTGTCCCCAGACTGTCCCCAGCCCCCTCGCTACATCCCCGTGCTGTCCCCTGCTCGTCCCCGCACATCCCCACGATGTCCCCGCGTGTTCCCCCACGCCGTCCCTCGTGCTGGGCTGTCCCCAAACTGTCCCCAAGTGTCCCCACGGTGTCCCCGCAGGCACTTCCCGCACCCCTACTACAGCCTGCGGCTTCACATCCCCGGCTCCAACTCCTCGGCGCGGCTGCTGGTGCTGGACACGGTGCTGCTCTGCGGCCACACCGACGATTTCGGCCTCGGGGACGTCCCCGCGGGTCCCCGGGACGCGGTGGCAGCCGGGGCTCACCTGGCCTGGCTGCGGGCACAGCTGGAAGCGGCCGCCGGGGACAGGTTCGTGCTGGTGGCCGGCCACTACCCGGTGTGGTCGGTGGCCAAGCACGGCCCCACGCCGTGTCTGCTGCGGCTGCTGCGGCCGCTGCTGCGGCGCCACCGCGTCACCGCTTACCTGTGCGGCCACGACCACAACCTGCAGGTGAGGCTGAGCTCAGGTGTGCAGGGAAAAACCCCCGAACCCCGCCCCAAAGGTGCGGGGACACCGCGGTGTCCCCAAGGTGTGGGGGTGCCCAGATGTGCAGGCACCTGTCCGGGTGCCGGGGGGGGGGTTGACCCCAGGTGTGTCCTCCAGGTGTGTCCCCCTCTAAATCCCCCCCCTTTTCTCCCGCAGTACCTGGAGGAGGGGGGTGTGAGTTACATCCTGAGCGGTGCCGGGAATTTCATGGAGGATTCCCGGCCCCACGACGGCTCCGTGCCCCCCGGTTCCCTCCGGTTCTTCTTCGGGAGCCCCACGAGCCCCGGCGGCTTCGCCCACCTGCGCCTGGAGCCCAGCGCGGTCACTGTCACCTTCCTGGAGGCCACCGGGCGCGTCCTGCACCGTGTGACGCTGCCCCCCCGGCACGTCTGAGCCCCGGGGACAACTGGGACAACTGGGGACACTGGGACCCCATTCCTGGGGACACCCCCTGACCTCTGAATCCCCCCAGGGGACACCGGGGACACTGGGACCCCATTCCTGGGGGACACTGGGAACAACTGGAGACACTGGGACCCCATTCCTGGGGGACAGTGGGGATCTCTGACCCCTCTGGGGACACTGGGACCCCTGGCTTTGGGGACACCCCGCGATCTCTGACCCCTTGGGGGACCCGACACTGACCAATGACCGCGGCCTGGGGCCCCCCCGTGGCCTGGGGGACACTGGGGACACTGCGACCCCCGCCTGGGTTGCCCCGGTGACCGCAATAAACGCTTTGAACGGCGCCGCCGCCATTGACGGACCCGAAACCGCCGCGATTCGCCCCAAAACCGCGCGGGGGGCGGGGCCTGAGGGCGGTGGCCGCGCTTTCCGCGCTGCTGATTGGGTGAAACCTCACGTCCATCACCTGGTGGGCGGGGCACCCTGCCAGTCGCTGATTGGCTGGAGCGCTGCGTCTATCAACAAATGAGAGGGGAGGAGCGCGCTGTTCCCGCTGCTGATTGGCTGAGGGCGGAGGGGCGGCACTTCCGGGAACGCGGCGGGAGCGCGGCGTGGGGAACCGGGAGGAACCGGGAGGCACCGGGAGGCACCGGGAGGAACCGGGAGGAACCGGGAGGGTCCCGGAGGGGTCGAGCCGCCCCCGGCGCGTCCCGCAGCGGGTCAGGGCCGCTCCGAGGCGGCTCCCGGGGCCGATCCCGGTGACGTTCCCGTTCCCGAGGCCGTTCCCGGTTCTCGGCTCCGGGGCTGCCGCCATGGGCCGCCGCAAGTCGAAGCGGAAGCCGCCGCCCAAGAAGAAGATGACGGGGACGCTGGAGACGCAGTTCACGTGTCCATTCTGCAACCACGAGAAGTCCTGCGACGTCAAGATGTGAGCGGGGGACACCGGGGACCGCGGACGGGACACGGGGATGGGCGGCAGCGCGGAAACGGCGACGGAGGAGCCCGGGGGGGGAGCAGAGAGGGGGGACATGGACCGGGACACGGGGCGGGGGTGATGAACCGGGCAGGGGTGTCGTGGTCGCGGGAGGAAACGGCCCCGGGGGTGGGGGGGTCGGGGCCCGGGACGGTCCCGGGGCCGGTCGGGGCAGAGCCCGGAGGAGTCACGACCCTGCCCTGCCCCCACAGGGACCGCGCCCGGAACACCGGGGTGATCTCGTGCACCGTGTGCCTGGAGGAGTTCCAGACCCCCATCACCTGTATCCTTACCGGGACCACCCCCCCGTGACCCCTTCCGGGGACCCACCGGGACCCCCCCCAAATCCGTGTTGGAGCCTTAACGGCGCCCCCAGACCTGTCGGAGCCCGTGGACGTTTACAGCGACTGGATCGACGCCTGCGAAGCCGCCAACCAGTGACAGCCGGGGAGGGGGCGACACTGCCCTGTCCCCAAACCCCCGGGGGGGTGACAACAGCCCCCAGGACCCCGTGACGCCCCCCAGGATCCGCTTGGTGGTGGTGGGGGGGGGGGTGACATTTCTCGACTTGTCCTTGTCCCCAGGGGGACATCGGGACGGGCGTGACACGTTTTGGGGGCGCTGCCCCGCAATAAACACCCTGCTCCGGTGGCCCCTTGTCCCCTGCCATGTCTCGGATGTCCCCTCAGTGTCCCCCACCCCACGGCAGCGTCACTTTTGCGTGTGGCTTTTATTGTGCCTCGGTGGCTTCACACGTGGCGGGGGCCGAGCCCCCCCAGGCCTGACCCTGGGGTCGATCCCAGCACTGTTCCCCCCTCTTCGGGGGCCGACCCCAGCCCCGATCCCGGGATTGTTTCCCCCTCGGGGGTCCCGATCCCCCCTCCAGGAGCAATCCCAGGGTCGAGCCTGGCGCGGGTGGCGGTGCCGGTTCCCGCCCCCGGTGCCGGCTCCGCGGGGGCGCGGTGAGGCCGGTGACGAGCGGTGCTGTTGGGGCAGCGAAGCGGCCGCGGCGCCGGCGGCTACTGCGAGTTGTAGAGGCCGTCGTGGCCGTCGTAGCCGTCGTGGCCCAGCAGCTCGGGGCCCCCGCAGTATTTGGGGTCGTAGACCTGGCGGGGCAGCCCGTAGACCGTCATGCCCTGCTGGGACGCGCCCTTGTTGCTGCCCATCTGCAGCCCGATGGTCATGGTGTCGCAGTGCTCCATGCCCAGCGCCGGCTCGAAGATCTGACGCTTCGTCCCCGGTGCCGTCATCCCCGCCTGGATAAAGTCCCCAGAGTCGCTTTATTCCCTCCTCAAAGTCCCTTTTTGGCACCCTGCTCCGGGCTCCTCGGGGCTGTCTGGGCCACCGGCTGGGACAGTGGCACTTCAGGGACTCCCCTTGGTGCCCACAGCGTGTCCATCCCCTCTGTTTGTCCCCAGAGTCCCCTCTGTTTGTCCCCAAAGTCCCCTTATCCCCTCCTCAAAGTCCCTTTGTCCCCCTGGGGCCACCAGCTGGGACAGTGGCACCTCAGGGTCCCCTCTGTCCTCCCCTTGGTGCCCACAGCTCTCTGTGTCCCTCTCCGTTTGTCCCCAATGTCTCTTTGTCCCCCTAATCCAAGGGACACCCAAGTCACCCCGGTGCCATCCCTTCTCCATGGCCCTGTGTCCCCCAGGGGTGGCAGTGTCCCCATGTCCCCTTTGGGTGGCCGTGTCCCCATGTCCCTGTGTCCCCTGTGGGTGACAATGTCCCCATGTCCTCTGCAGTGACAATGTCCCCATGTCCCCTGTGGGTGACAATGTCCCCGTGTCCCCTGTCCCCGTGTCCCCGTGTCCCCATATCCCGTGTCCCCCTGCAGTGACAATGTCCCCGTGTCCCCTGCGGGTGACAATGTCCCCGTGTCCCCTGTCCCCCCGCAGTGGCCGTGTCCCCATGTCCCGTGTCCCCGTGTCCCCTGTGGGTGACAATGTCCCCTGTCCCCTGTCCCCACCTGGCTGGCGCCTTTGTTGGTGCCCATCTGGAGGCTGATGGTGGCCTGGTCCAGGGGCTGGTCCGTGCCCAGTTTGGGGTCGTACAGGTGTCGCCGTGTCCCGTACGCTGTCATGCCCTGCTGGCTGGCGAACTTGTTGGTGCCCATCTGGGGACAGCGACAGCGTCACCGAGTGTCCCCAGCGCCGCCCCCGCCCCCGCCGTGTCCCCAGGTGTGCCCAGGTGTCACCTGGAGCCCGATGATGTTCCTGCCCTCGCGCAGCTTCTCGGGGTGGAAGCGCCGCTGCTGCTTCTCGGCGTATTTCACCCCCAGCCCCCCCACGTTGTTCCCCTTTGTCTTGGCCTGGCGGAGAACGGGGGGTTGGGGGGGGGTCACGGGGTCCCCCCAGACCCCGAATACCCTCCCCAGACCCCAAATACCCTCCCCAGACCCCAAATACCCTCCCCAGACCCCAAATATCCTCCCCAGACCCCAAATACCCTCCCCATATCCCAAATACCCTCCCCAGACCCCAAATATCCTCCCCAGACCCCAAATACCCTCCCCATATCCCAAATACCCTCCCCAGACCCGGAATACCCTCCCCAGACCCCGAATACCCTCCCCAAATCCCAAATACCCTCCCTAAATCCCAAATACCCTCCCCAGACCCC